TGAAACAAATCAGCTCAGAGAAGAAGATGAACCTGCCTAGGTTCATCCCAATATCACCCATCCTGACATAGTTGTTTGCTCTGTATATAAATGTCAAGTTTGAAAGAGCCCCGATACAGACCCTTTTAAGAGACTTCTCCACAATCAAAAGGTTTCCTCCTTGTCAAAAGGGATTTCTGCTCTTAGTTGAGTCCTTTGAAAATACATGTAACAAAACCACAGAGGTTAATGGTTAAGCTTAAAGAGTGAGGATTCTGTAGTCCCAAAGACCTGAGTTCGAGGTCCATTTCTGCTCCATCACAGCTCAGAGATACTTGGCAGTTTATGAAGGTTTCTGAGCATCTTTCCTCATATGTTAAATGAATATAATAATAATCCGTACCTCATAGAGATGTGTAAGTCGAAATCTGTGTGAGGCATTCTATACATCAATGGCTAACTAGGGGAGAGAAACCACTTGAGTATTTCAAACAGGATTTTATACAGGGAATTAGCTGTATGGGTGATGAAGGATCAAGGTGCTAAATGGGACAATGAAAAAGTCCTACTTTAATGTAATACTTTTAAAAGTCTGAACTGATGCAGGAAAAAAAATCCATGATGAAGAAAACATCAAAATCTTAAAGACAGGATAGGACCCCACACTTGTATAACTCAGCCTCCCTTTTCTTTTTATAATCCTGGCCCTGCCAGGGATGAATAAACAGCAGGAATCTACTACAACCCCTAGGACAAGGGACAAAGGGAAGAGGGGTGTTACTGGAGCCCAGAACAAAAGCTGGGGCTATCCCACAGGATCTAGAATCATACAGGAGACAAAGCTGCTGCAGAGATGCCACAGGAGACAAAGAGAGGAAGAAATACCTTGGCTTATCCCTTCCTCCCGCCTTCCAGTCTCCCATCAGTGCCTCCCATTGGCCAAACTCAGCTGTCATTCTGCTGATATGGGAGCCTGGAAGCCATGGTCTACAAGAAGAAGGCAAGGGATGGATCTGAGGCCAAATAGGCCCAAGATGGCCCAGGCACTTCACTCAGTTCCTCTCCCACCTAAAGGCTCAGAAATGTGAGAACGATGTCTGCCTGAGCCTGACTACTAGAGGAAAATGGCCTTATGTATTTGAGACTACCACCAAGATGATGACGGATGGTGATGCTGGGCAATGGATTCCAAAGGAAGCAAGATTTTGTTCCACCTATGTCATCTCCTACGTCATTCTCCACATAATGGGGGTGGGGGTGCTGCATGTACATCTCCAGGCATAATGGGTAGTGACAAGGACAAGAATATATGACCACTCCCAGTCTTTCAGGGTTCATGAAGTTACCTCAGAACTGCCCAAAATGGAGATCCTTTTAGAACTATAGGAAACTGCAGAGACATATGCGTGAAGAGAAGATGTGCCGAGAGGATGCAGACTTCTTGGATGCTTGTTCTCAGGACCCTCAGTTATCAGAAAGGTGGTGAGGGGCAGGAAGTTGGAGAGAAGGGAATTATCCAGCTAGAGCAGAATTTCCCATCTGGCAGTTGCCACAGGATCAGGGAACCAGGGTGGGATACAAGTGGGGAGGAGAAAAAGTAAAATTGGAAATGGGTGCAACGTGGAGAGCACTGGTCAGGAATGTGCGGATGGAGGTCAGACAGGTTTGAATCTTGGTTCTGCCCTCAGCTAGAATGTGTGACCTTGGGCAAGCGGCTGAACCTCCCTCAGCCATGGTGCATCAGCAGAATGAGGGTAATCACGGAACCTGGCTCAAAGGGCGGTTGTGCGAATTGAACAAAATTACGTACGTGAAGAACTTAGAGATCCTGGCTCAGACCAAATACTCCATAACTGGCAACTGATACTAGCTTTATTATTGTTGTTGTTGTTGTTAGAATTGAAGACAAAGATGAAGGTTTATACTACAGGAGGTATTACAATAGTTTAGTGGCCTCAGGGATATGCAGGATAGTGTATTCAGTGATTTTTGAACTCATGGCCCAAGTTCAGTGGTATAGTGGGTTTCATCAATAAGGAAAGATTTCAGTTTCCCTCAGGTGGTATCACTCAGACAAAGACACAGACATAGACATAGATATGGATGTGGACATGGATGGAGGAGTAGATGCAGACATAGGTATAGATGTAGGTGTAGGTGTAGAGATAGGTGTAGATGTACATGTAGGTGTAGATGTAGATGTAAGTAGAGGTGTAGATGTAAGTGTAGATATACGTGTAGATGTAGGTATAGGTGTAGGTGTAGACGTAGATGTAGATATAGGTACAGGCGTAGGTGTAGATGTAGATATAGGTGTAGGTGTAGATGTAGGTGTAAGTAGAGGTGTAGATGTAGGTGTAGATATAGGTGTACGTGTAGACGTAGGTGTAGGTGTAGATGTAGATATAGGTACAGGTGTAGGCGTAGATGTAGATATAGGTGTAGGTGTAGATGTAGGTGTAAGTAGAGGTGTAGATGTAGGTGTAGATATAGGTGTACGTGTAGACATAGGTGTAGGTGTAGATGTAGATATAGGTACAGGCGTAGGTGTAGATGTAAGCGTAGGTATAGATGTAAGCGTAGGTGTAGACGTAAATGTAGGTGTACATGTAGGTGTAGGCAGATATACATATGGCTACACTTGACATAAAGTGCATACTTTAAAGAATCACACCAAATGCTAAACAAAACTAGATCTAGAGTACAGTTACGTGTACCTCTCATGCACAATTATGACCAACTCTCACTTCAGATTAAGTGTTCCCTGAGCAAACACTATGTCCTGGGCACAGGAGTACGCACTAGAGGGGAGGGATAGAAATAAGAACAAGACACAGTTGCTACCTCCAAAAGCCCCCTATTCTATGGGGGAAACAGACATGTGCAAAAATAAAAATATTTCTCCAGAAGGCAAGGAATGACTAAGTTCAACTTCGAAGTCTTCCTGGAGAAAGCAGCATTGAGCTCGTGTTGTTCCACAAGCTCGTGAGATGAGAACGATGGAGGCTGGGATCCAGAGTACCCTGCCTTTCCTTTTGTGGGCACAGGGGAGCTGCCTGGCCCTGGAATTATTTCCCTTCCATTTGTGTTAAGAGTATTATCAGATTTTTTCTCTCATCAGGAGGTGGGTACCTCCAAAGCTGTCACTAAATAATATTTTCAAGGTTTATCCACAGTATAGCTTGCATCAGTACCTCATTCCTTTTTATGGTTGAACAACATTCTACCATATGGAGTTTTTACCCATTTTGTTTTTCCATTCATCAGTTAATGGACATTTGAGTTTTTCCCCCTTTTGGCTGTTATGAGCAATGCTGCTATGAACATTCTTGTATAAGTTTTTCTTTGAACATCTGTTTAATTCTTTTTGGCATTTACCTTGGAATGAAAGTGATGGGGTCATGTTGTCATCCTATGTTTAACTGTTTGAGGAACCACTTAATACATTCTTAACAACCAGAGGAACAGAGTTTCTCCTTCCAGAAGGATCCAGAAAAGTCACTGGGATCAAGTCTCATTGGCCCATCTTGGATCACATGGCCATCCCTGAACAGATCATTGTGGGCAGGAAAATGGATACCATGATCGATGAAGATGTGTCTCCTTCTGCAGTAAGGAAAGCTCTCTACCCAAAGCACATGGACCGAAGATGGGGAATAGGTGGTTTTTTCAAAGGAAAATTAAAGTGGTGTTAACGGAAAAGGAGGGAAAAGATACTGGAAGGCAAAAACAAGAAGTGTCCACCTTACCAAAGAAGCAATGGAATAACTTCTTTTGATTGTACTGTGGGAATATGTGATGAACACTTTTTGAGCACTTAATATATGTCAGGTACTAGTCTAAGTGTTTTGATTTTGTTTTTGTTTTTTTGAGGAAGATTAGCCCTGAGTTAACATCTGCCGCCAATCCTCTTCTCTTATTTTTGCTGAGGAAGACTGGCCCTGAGCTAACATCCGTGCCCATCTTCCTCTACTTTGTATGTGGGACGCCTGCCACATAGTTTGACAAGCAGTGCGTAGGTCCACACCTGGGATCGGAGCCAGCGATTCCCAGGCCACCAAAGTGGAACATGCAAACTTAACCGTTGCACCACCAGGCCGGCCCCTATTCTAAGTGTTTTTGAAAAAAGTGTTAGTATCCCCATTGCACAGATGAGAAAAATGAGGCTTAGACAGGTTAAGTACCTGGCCCAAGGTCACACTGTTAGAAAGTGGTTGAGCTGGGACTTGAACCTAAATCTCTCCAGCACCAAAGCTCCTATCCTTCCCTGTATACCATGCTGGCGCTTACTGAGTAGAAGGCATCAGGCATGAAAAAATCTGGATGACCACTTGGTGGGTGTCTTAATTGTCACCATGCTGGGTACCAAATCTGCACATTCATGTGCACAGATATACTCACACACATTTCCCAATGGCATGAAGTGAATGGACATAACCCTCTATCTCCCATCACACAGGACACACAGCCAAAGTAGAATGTATTCTTCTTTTTCCTCATTAAAATTAAAGACTATGTCCCTTATTAGCCAATGGATCTCTAAAAATGGTCAGAACTCCAGAATTCCACTTGAGAACCCTCTCCACTGCACAATGGAAACTGTGGTCTCTTCAAAGAATGTGGAAATTAGATGTCATTATCATAGCTCCCCAGGTCCAGCAGAAGTGGAACTTCCATTGTTAACCTGTAATCTTTTTTTTTTTTTTTTTTGAACATCAAAACATTTTCCCCTAAAGCATTTAATTTGATTCAACCCCAAAGGTTTGTTTTTCAGAAATGGCAGGGATCGGCTGATCTTTCTGTACTCTGGGTGAAAGCTCAGTCCTGTTGTTAACATGGTACCTTGTCTCCCTCCTCTGTCTGAGCTGGGAACCAGAAGAAACCTTTACAATGACAGTCTCCTAATAGGATTGTATTTTTTCTGCATGTTACATCTCAGGGGATCATTGTCATTTGTCTCCTGCAAATGACAGTTCAGCTTCTCCGGGCCCCCTAGTTGCTTGGGAAGAAATGTTACTCACAGCTTGTCTCCAATGATGTTTTATAATTGTAGCAGAAATCCGGTGTTAACAGATCTGTCTGGCTAAAGAGGTGCAGGAGCCCATCGGTATCCACATCAGCACCCCAATGGCTTGAAATCATATCTGGTGTTTCTTCATTCTGATGACATTTTGCATACATACATAAAAATAAGAATAAAATTTGATCACACAAAAATGTGAATTTCCAGAAAAGAAAAAATCAGCCTATTTATTCTCCACCAGACATTTTATAGCTTCTTATCTCTGTAATTTTTATGTGCTCTTTATTTTTTTCTGAAATACCCCTCTCTTTATCTCCATGTATCCAAATACATCCTTCAATTGTCTTCTGAGACCACTCTAGCTTGCAATGATTTCACCCTCCAGTAGCATTTGAATGTACCTTCCATGTGGCAATTAATCATGAGCTTCCTTGTGGTATGGCCTGTATTCTTCAACTAAACTGCTTTAACTGTTCACGTTTATTGTCAGGACTCTGCTCCTCGTTTTAACCTTACTCTGACCTAAAGGAAAATGGGTTGTTAGTGGGCAAACCAATTAATTAAGAAGGCTGGGAATTCTCTTTTCCTCCCCTGCCACTCCCTCCAACCACCACTCATTCCTCAACCACACTGTTGGATATGCTATGTATCTATGGAAGCTCCAAATAATTGCTCACATCAACTACAGACATCAAGAGCTCTTGAGGATATTGAAAATAATTCCATGAATTTTGAGGAGCCAAGCCAAGCAGAAAAGGAATGAAGGCCAATTAATAATAAAGACAGTGAATAGATGTCATTAACCTTGCGTGAGGATAACAGCTTTACCCGATAAGCCATAAAAACAAGTCTCAGGGTAGCTGTCCATGGTTCTGAAAGTTCTGCTGCCATGGGCAACTTATCACCTACATTGCTTTCACCCTTAACTCCCTAACTGCAACTACCATTGATTCTGTTCACGTGGCCTGACCCCTTATTTAGCCTGACTTCAGCTAAAATGTCTTCTGAACAATCTGTGTCCCAGATCAGCAGTCTTGACAAGCAAAGGTAGTTAAAAGAATGGACTCTAGAGTCAGACTGTTTGGGTTTGAAGCTCAGATTCACCATATGAAGGAAGCTACTTAATGTCACCTGTCAATTTTGGAAAGTACTACTAGGTACTTCATGCGGTTGTTGAGAGAATTAAATGAGAAAAAATATATAAGAGCTTAGCAGAGTTCCTGACACATAGAAAGGTCTCAGCAAATTTAGCCTTTTATTATGATGGTTGTGTCTTGGATCCTTAACCATATGTAAGGTATTGGAACAAAGGAACTGAATTGTTTCCTTCATGATACCCTCTATTGGCTACAGAGTAATAGGATGGGCAGAAGCTTTGAAGTAATGGAGACTGAGTCCAAATCCTGCTTCCACAACACACTACCTGCACGATATTAAGCGATTTACTTAACCCTTCTGAGCCTCCTTTGCCTAATTTAAAAAATGCAGTAAACGATTTCAATTTTTCAGAGTTGTAAATATTCTAGAGGATGTATATAGATGGCTGGATTAAAATATATGTGCAATAAACAGATCATCATGTTTATGGCTATGAATCTGAGAGGACTGCAAGCAGATGTTATTATTTCTGCTCATCTATCACCAACAATCTGTAAGAGTCATGAGTGTATATTGATAACAAGCAGTAAGGACTTAGTGCTTTATCTTGGGAGGCCCAGTTCTCTGAGAGGACTCTATGACATTCCTTTGTATGGTGGATCAATTATGTAAGATCTTACAGTCTTAGTCATCAACTCAATTTTCTTACAAAGAAGGGAATTTCATCTAGAGAAATTCTGATGTTACCTCTACATCATTAATATGGCTGTGTAATGTGGGTAACATAGGGTTACCAAAGTGTGATTCAAGAAAGACTATCAATGATTCTGTCTGGGAAAAAAAAAATCTTTCTAATTATGGATCAGGTACTATCATCGTATTCAATGCTCAGCTCATTGACTTCAAGTACTCCTGTTCATTAACACAGTTTTGGAGAAAATCTGGAGACTGTCAAAAATACATTTGTAGATTACAACTCCTGGAAATATTCCCGTGCATATAAATCCCTCCCGGGGTAACTTCTCTAAGAAACAGTCCTTTGGAGCCTGAAGGAATAACCATCCATTGCACTTCATAGTTCCAGCTATGTGTTAATTAGGACCTGATGGAAAAGGGTAAGAAAAACTAGGACAAAACATCCTCTCTTCATGGTAGACTATATACCAAGAGCAGAAGCTTCTGACTCAGCACATGGTGATATTTTCCCATCTAGGGCACACCCCTCCATTTATCAAGCTTGATCTAAAGGATGAACTTCAGACATGTTTTTAAAGAGATAGGCCTCAGACAGAGTTCCTGCTGGTCATTCTGCTCCCCTGAAGGATCAACCTTTCCTCTGACCTATGGGAAACATGGCACCATTAGCTGCCCACAGTCTGCTTAGCTCCCAGAGTCCTTGCCCCATGCATGAGTAGAACTTACAGACCTAAGGTTTCAAATGCCTAAGACAACAGGAAGTTAAGAGTGACCATATCAGGAAGTTTTCCCCCAAAATATCTTCTTCTCATTTCACCGCTTTGAAAGCAGCTAAAAAGAAGCATGTTCTTAGAAGGCAATACTAGGAATGAAATCTACCAATATGTCACCAAATACCAAAACTTATTTCTAAAGTTCCACTGTGGTTTGGGGAGAAGCAGAAACCAAATTTTAATGGAAGGGAGTATAGTAAGGGGGTTAAGATCATGGACCTGAGTTCACATCCCATCGCCACCACATCCTGGCTATGTTGAATTTCTTACTTCTCCAAAGCTCAGCCCCCTCCCCTAAAAAATGGGAATAATAATATCACCCACCTTACAGAGTTTTAATGAGCATTAAACTATATAACCCATATAAGGTGCTTAGTCCTTATATAAGTATTCAATAAATTATTTACATAAACATTTTTGGGTGCATGATATGCACCATCTCATTGAATATCACAATCTTATGAAGTAAGTATTGCATCCCTCCTCCATTTTGTCAGCAAGTAGACTGAGACTTAGAGAGGACAGGGAATTTGCTTTGGATCCTACAGCTGGGAATTGGAAAAGCCATGATTCAAATGGAGGTCAGTCTGACCCAGACGACCTTAGTGAATTTAATAAACTGTCAATGCAAAAGACCCAAGCCCTTTGTAATCCCTGACCCCAGTTACACCATCCTCACCAAGGGAGAGATTCAGCCACACCACTGAGTCAAAGGAAGAAGTACACGGACCTCCAAGTTGCAAACCAGAGACAACGATTAAAAATTAATAAAATCACACCCCATACAACCAAATCACGTAGGACACAAGTACAAAATTCAACCCACTCAACAAAAAGGCCTCCAGATTCCTAAAATTGCAAATGTAAAGTTGTGTATTTTCCACAAAATCAAGATCCTAGGAGATGGGGTTTGGTGGACTGCCACATTCACATCCCCTTCATTGCACAGCTCTGAAGAAGGTGACAAGGGGAAGTGAACTCCCACTGATGGAGCACCTACTGTCAGGCCTTGTGTCACACGGTTTACAGATCTTATCACTTCATCCACCAAATAACACTAAGACATAAGGATTATGAGCCCCACTTCACAGGTGAGTAAACTGAGAATCAGAGACGTTAAGTGACTTGTCCAAGGTCACTCAGAAGAAAAATTGGCATTAAAATCCGGAACCATCTCAGGGACACCATTCACCTAGTCTATGATGGAACTGGTGACCCTGGAGATGGCCCACAAGCTCCTTCCAGTATACCCCACTTAACTCTCCCAGAGCCAGAGTTCTTTAAGAAAAATTAAATTAACTAATCAGTGGCATTGGTGCCACCACTGAGACCTGGGTGGGCAGGAAGTCTCAGAAATAGAAACCCTTTCCTAGAAACACTGTCTGCTCTCCATGTCTCTTGACTCTAGTTAACAATTCTGGATAAAGTAGAGGCTTCTTTTTTATCCTTGTTAAGCAATACGCACTTCTCTGTAACTCCTATGTCTCCAGGTCCTGAGCCTTGCCTGAGTGGTAATTTTCTTTCCCTGTGATCTTTGTGCCCTTAGAAATTACAACACACCGAGCATGAGGTTTAATTATTGAAAGAGAGCGTGCTAGGTAAAAAGTTACCCCTGAGGATTTGCCAAAGCAAAGGACAGACAGATACCACCTAGGAGGACAATACCTTTTGCTAAAGCTATAGGATTATGGCAAAATTGCAAATTATACCGTGCCAGGGAATGATACATCAGCACTTTTTTGCATAAACCTGCTTTCCAGTGGCTTATGAAGTTAGCTCAAAAAATTTTTCTTTGAATTAAAACCTGGTTTGCAAAATATTGTCTTTAAATTATGCATCCTTTAAGAGCACCAGTCAATCCTTCCTAGCATTCACCAAACTAAAATCCTTTCCATTTTTAATTAAAGTAACTTTACTTTTCATATAATACTGAAGTGACCTCTTCCATATTGGGAATTTGCAAGAACACTGTTAGGAAAAAAATGATATTAAATTATCAATCATGTAGAGTTTCACTTCCACCTAGGATGTAGAAAGCTGGAAGGAGCTTCGCTCCCACCATAAGCACAAGAAAAATGCAAATAAGCATCAAAATCTTAACTTTTTTTAAATGCACCCAGAAGCTGAGGCCACAGAGCAACCAAGAAGCCTCAACTCCAATGAAACACAGGCTCCTCCCAGGATCATCTGTGGCGGCACAGGAGATGAAGAGACAAGTGGGTAAGAAGAATGCAGCTAAAATTTTTAACAAATTGCTAAAGGCCAAGCGTGGGCTAGCATGAGATTAGAGAACCCCTGACGTAAGGGAAGCTTGCATCCATCCAACATCTCTTCTCCATAGCCCTCCAATGGGTGCTTGGGAGAAAGACCAGAAGCAAGGTGGGGTACTGGAAAGAGCCTTCCTTGGTGGTACATCCCACAGCGTTTCTGGGTAAATGGAAAAGCCCTCACTCAGATCCTTGTCCCCAACAGAACTAAAACCTCAAGACAATGGGAACGAGGCAGCAAATCCAGGGCACCAGGGGAGACCCACTGCAGCAGGAGCAAGGGTGAAAAAAGGTATCCTCAAC